GAACAGCGAGTATGTAAGCTTTGTCTTTATAAAGTTAACCCCACGCCGACATACGCTTCTATAATAAACTCGAGCGCGTTTCAAATCTTACGTACGGGAGCGTGCGTCAAAAAACGAACTCTTCTTTGAAAATTATTCTGACAGGAATAAAATGAAGTTGTAGAAAACGTATTAATTACCGACTTTTATTATCTCTTTCTCATGTGTGGAACCACATTTTGAAATCGCAAGAACTGGTTCCCAATTTTTTTTCTTTCGGGTATGGAACCTTAAATAATCGACTCCCTTTTGCTCGTCTTCATAAATAAAGTTCAATCAGCAACTGCGAAGATATTTACTAATAACACAAGTCTAAAATATTTTATCTGAAATTAAATAAATAATATGTTGAAAGAATTTTAAAATAGGCTGATTTATATTGGAATTGATTTGAAAACGAAAAGGAAATGCTATAAAGTTTGAGAATGAATATCAGTGAAACATTTTTATTTGTGGTTGAATTTATTTATTTTATTTTGAATTGAAAAATAAATATGAATAGATCTATTTAGAAATGCATATCTTTCTTGCAATTTTTGCAACACATATTTATAAGGAAAGAATGTGTATTAAATAATGATATTTATCTTTTTCACTGGCATCTTACTTTATTTAATAAAAAGTAACAACAACATAAATAAATATAATTACAGGTTTCAAAAATCATTCACTCTCGAACCCTCAGAATCCACGGAACTGCTGATGTCGTTTATTGACACAATTATATCACTCAATGAAATGTTTTCCATACAATTTGATCGATTTTCGTCTAGATAGAGCGCTCACATCACAACTGGGATTTGAATCGTTTCCTGAACAAAACAAGCCTTATTGCTGTTACAATATATAATAGAATTTGTTGCAGGCAGCTTTGTTTGCGAAACTATTACCCAAGTTTAATTCGGAGGGTAACGAGGGGTAGAGACACATTCTACATTCTTTGGTAGTGAGGCGGAATGAAGTTTTTTTCTGTCGCAAAATTAATAATTATACATTTTGTAAGCAACATGATATCTTCTTTTTGTGAAAAATATTAACTTTTAAGGGAAAATAAACAATGAATGAGGAGTGGTTGGCGAGTCCCTGTTCTACAGTATGGGGGGGGGCTTTAATGAGTCATGTGTTCATTAAAACGCTTGCAGCTCTTTTAATTGACTATATTTAAAACAACATTTCCCTATAAAAAGAAATCCTTATGCACCGAGGAAGAAACAACCCTGCTCATTTGCTTCTTTGCAATAAGAGAAGTAAAGCCATGAAGCTACCATAACTTTTTTTCTTCCCCTTTCAACTACTCGGAGAGAGTTTGGATGACTTTAAAANCTTAAAAAATAAAAAAAAAAAAAAAAAAAAGAAAATACATTCAGTTAATAAAATTCACTTTTCGTTTCCTGCCTTCTTTTAACGAAACTTTTTCGATTATTACAGTGGTAAAGTTTTAACCGATTATTACAGTGGTAAAGTTTTAACGAAGTTATCTTACATCCATATTCAACATTACAGTAAACTATCCTTAAATTTTAAAAAAAACTCTAATTAAGTCCAGAAGCGGAATATTAATCCAAATTTCGACTTTCTTTCGCCAGAACTTGACCGTAACAGAATACAGCTCTTTCACAGTCAAGGGCATGTCTCTTACTTTGTCTAGAGATCTCTCTAACATTCATACTGAATTCCAGAATTTGAGTTTTATGAATAGATCACTCATTTCTGAAATATTTTTGAATACACAATAGTCATTACTATTTAAGTTGACCATTTACTTTAAAAAAGAAAAATTCTCTTTCACCAATTATTGTCCTTCGGTAAAAATTCAATTTATATCTAAATAGTCTCATCTGATACATTAAGAAAGAGATGATTGATAGCAGATGGCATATTAACGTGATTGTCGATGGAACTAAGGACAGATGAAAAATATTAAGGTTTACATTTGGTGGCTGTAGCGATTAGTTTTTGCTGAGATAGGGTGTTTAAGTGTTGCAAAATGCTGCTTTTAATTGTTTGTCTAGTTTAATGTCTTGATGTATATTTTCGTTAGTCATGCATCTCGGTGAGTGTAGCATAGATCATAATAATTTGCTCTTAAAAGATATTGGTTTTGTGTTTTTGAGATCGCTCATGCGAGTGAGGTAATGATTGGGTGTATTCACATCCTTTCTTTTAAACCTATTAAAAAAAGGAGGAAAGAGACTGTTCGAACAACTCTACTTTTCATGTTACTAACTTTACCCCGAAAAGGTAACACTGGATAAGTTTAAAAGAATTATTTTATGACTAAACTATAATTAACTATCACGGCTTTAAGATACAAAACTTTCAGGTAAAAACGGCTCGGACGAAATGTGAGCGTATTTGAAAGAAATAAAATAATGGAATAACGTTCAGTAAAATTTGACGAAAAGTTTTTAGGTAGTATTCATTTCTTCAGTAAGGATAAACCAAAAAATAACATCACTAAATTTTTTGATATTCAAACTAGCATTGAAGACACAACTTTCCCTTTGAGTAAATAACACCCAAGATTTAAATCAAACTCATGGTTGTCCTATTGGTTTAAACTAATGAAAAATTTAAGGAATTAAATGAACAACAAATAATTAAAGATCGTCGATCAGATAGAATAAAAGAGAAAGCAAGTTCAAACTTAGCATTATAATTATGGCGAGACGAAGTTTTGGAAAATAAAGTATGCAAAGCATTAAAATGTAGTTAGGCCCTAATTGGGTCGAAATGAGCACTTACATATTAAATAAAATTAGAAAAATTTGGTTCAAAACTACTAGTTTCAGAGAATTGTTTAAATAGAAAATTCTAAGTATATTTGCATTGGGATACATATGGATGGCGTAACAGTTACATATTCTGATTTAATGTATAATAAGTATAGTAAGGAAGCTGTATGAAACATTTGAAATGAAAAAAAAATTCAAGTAATAAATTTCTTTTGTATTTATCAACTCTAACTCGCTCGTACTTCAGTTTTTTTTTAAAGTTTTTTTAATGGATAACTCATTGTACTTGAGTCTCAAACCTGAGCACTGCAATTTACCTAAAAGAGTGTCTAGGTACCTCAATGGTAATAAAGATAGAAAAAAATATTTTATAGCAGCAAATTAAGACTTTTAAAGGATTGAGAAGATGCAAGTTGAGTAGGGTCTGAACTGCAAAATTATTTTTAAGAGAAAACTATAATACTAGGAGCGAGATTATTTATTTTATGGAAGAACAATAAACAAAATACAGTGGCTTTATCCACTAGTGGACTTGTTTCTCTGGCTGGTGTTTCAAAAAAATGAATAGGGTTGTTAAATTTAATGTAAGGTACAAGAGTATTAAGGTATTTGAATTGTACAAAATATAAAAAGTTATTTTAAAGCAAACAAATCAGGACTTTTAAAGGCTTGTGTAGACTGGATAATGGTCAAAAATGCAAAATCAATTTCAAGTGACATTTTAATGCTAGTGGATTCTTTAATTTTAAGGTAAAGCATTAAGCAAAATACGGTGACTATGTCCACGTGGCGAAACTGAACTTATTTCTTTTAGCAGGGGCTATATTAATTTATATATAATAATTAAATATGTATGTTTACAAAATTAATAGGATTGTTAAATTTAAAATAAGCTGAAAAAAGTGTTAAGGTATTTCAGTGGTAGTAAAGATAAAAAATTATTTTTGAGCTTAAAGACTTGTGCATAGGGAAGCTGGGCAGAACTTGTGAAACTGAACTTGTTTTGAATAAGTAATGTGGTTGTTAAATTTTTCAGAGGAATTAAATTGTTCTATATTTGTAGAGAGACCTGTCATCATTCATTAAATTTTTAATAATGCAAAATCATTTTCTCTTTCAAAACACATAAGTTTGAAACTTTATTTTATTGAGGATATAATTGGTAAAATTATAAAAATTAAATATGTTCAAACGAATGAAATGTATGCAGCTTTCTCAACTAAATTTGTGATTTTTGACAAACTCAAATGGACTCAGTAAAAAATTAATTAAGTTGACTAACTTATAGTTCACAAGAAATTAGTTTATAAAAGCTATACTTCGTGTTTTTTGAAAAATGTGTTTTTTTTCGCAAGGGAAGTGCTGTCGATGTGCGAACTACTTCTTTTTTCTCGGTAAGTAGCGCGTGTTACAGGCTATGATTTCCGAATGAATTATATAACAACTGTGACTGCGATATTGATAGTTTCTTTTCTTGAGTTTACTGTGTGTGAGTTATGCTCTTCAAATTGCGTGCATGATGTTTTCTTTGCTATTTGCGTTTTAATAAATATGTTTTCAATTGCTTCCTCAAGCTCAACAAACAATATAGACTACGGTGGGTTAACATGATTGGGGATTTTGAAACACTAAAAGTGAAAATCTAGAACACCCTGTTGAGGACGATTCTAAAGAAGGCCTTGTCCCTCAAAGGGTTGTCGAGTCAGTAAAGAAGAATGTATTCTGGATTGAAAACTCGAGCAGCGTTTATGAAGTTTAATACTGGTTGAAAAAAATTGGGTTCGCAAACGGGGATGGTTTATAAGAATTCTTAGAATTAAAAAAGCATAGGGGGGGGCTGTTGCAAAATAACAATTCTGCAGTCATTCAGTGATTGTTTGAACAATTTTAAATTTTCCAATCTTTGAGCAATTTATAGGGCCCTAATTGGTATTTCTTTATAGTTGCATAGAGATGGGGATTCATTTTTTGTACCCTTTGACAATAACGAGTTTTAAAATCCTTATAAAAATTTTAAAAAATATTATAAATATAAAAACGGCTTAGTGGATTTGTAAAATGATTACGTTTAAAATTTTCCTAATATAATCGGTAACTTAATGTGTGGAACTAAATCTGAATAATAGTTTAAAACTGGGATTTTTATACGACATTAACCTTTGATGTTGATTAAAAAGTATTCCTCCTCAGAAGAGAAAAATGATTGCAAAGCAATGGCGAGCGCATTCATAACGTGAAGTATTTGGCGACATCTATGGTAACCCTATCTCTCCTACAAGTGATAAAACTTGCTTTGAAGAGAATTCTCTATCATAAAGAGACACACATCGTGAGAAGAAATCGACATGTATTTTTGACAAGGTATAGCTTTTTTTATTTTCTTTAGAATTGTCATTCCATTTTGAATTTGTTCAAGACAATCTTTTCCGAAATAAAACGTTATCAAGAGCGAATCCGTAAGAAAATATAACTTTTTTTTAATCAGTGTAAATGTATTTCAACGCCGTACTTAAAGCACAAGCTATTCATTAAAGGTATAATTTTGGTTCAAATGTTTAGGTATTTATTATTCTAGAACATTTTAAAATGTAGCGTTTATCGGCAATTTTTAAATGATATTTCTTTTAAGGTACACTTAAATATATTTTTTCTTACATAAACAAATCATAGTATATATTTATATGAATATGCTTAAACAATTATGTGATGTAGTTTGTTACACGTGTTTGTTAATTTTTAACCTCTTAAGACTGCAAGTCTAATGCAATATGCAACATTTTATTTAACTTTCAAAAAATATTTCGAGACTATTTTTTTTATTCCCTACCGAAGCTATTGTCTATGTAAAAATATGATTAATTTTACCCTCGCTGGTTGGAGGTATTGATGACAATGAAAAATTATAAGAAAGGAAAGAAATTTTAGTCAAATAACCTCGTAAAATGTTCTATGTCTCTCTCTCTATATATAAATTAATGTCTGTGTGTGTGTCCTTTACGGATTTCTAATCCATCCAATCGAAAGCGATGAAATTTTTTATACAGATAGTTCGAAGCACAAGAAAGGTCACTGTGGACATTAGAATCTTCTACGACTAACCGTTCGAGCGGGATAATTGAAAAACGAAACAGTTCTGATTAGTTAAGCGTTAGTCATTGTTTTAAATTTTACTATTAGCGATACAGTTTTTTACGTATTTTAATGATAACAGCAGTTATGTTTTCTAGTTTATAGCTCTATTTGATCAAAAAAAGTTTATTGCACATACTTTAATATTTAATTATTTTTATTCGCTATGTCTGATATTTTCAAAGAACAACACTATAACGTGGTATCATTCGTGATTATGTCATCAAATTAATATTTGTAAAATTATCTTATACATCCTGCTTATTTTGTTTATAGTAATTATTTTAAAATATGTTTCTCTAAAAGTAAACAATTTAAAATCAGCGGTAATTAAAAAAGAGAAAAAAAATTAGCAATTTTTTCAAAGGCAAAATTAATGGAAAAAGGGTGTTAGATCGCTTAGAACAAACGTAAAAAATTGCCATACTATTATTGATGTTAATGATTGTTTATTAATTTAGATAATATAAGCACATTGAATTTAAGGAAATAAGCTATGTCCTTAAAATTCAAAATTAATGGAGTACAAGTACTTATTCGTTTAGACGAAGCGTAAAAAATTGCCATACATACATTGTCATACGACAATGATGTTTAATTTACATTGATTATATGTATTTTTTTAAACCGTCGTTAAACAGCCGAGCCAGTTTGTTGGATTTACGATTACTAAGATCCAATTCCGTAGCCTTGTAATTTTGGACCCAATCCAGAAGACAAGGGTACTCCTGAATCAAGTATTGGGTGAAATTTGCCTTCGTGGAGGTCTTTCTGATGGAATTAACCAGCATTTGCTTTAGATGGAGAGGATAACCTCCCATGGTTAGCCTGACGGCAAGGGGACTCTAACCCATGATCCGTCTACCACTGAGGATATTTTATGTCAGCACTGCGGTCGCTGCGAGCCGAGTGTGGAATTCGTATCGACCAGCCATAGCTAGGATTAAAGCCTTATAAGAATTTTGTTTCTTTTTAAAATTTCGGCTTTAGTTTATTGCCATGGATAAATGCATTTCTCACAAAACTCAAGGGTTATGTATGCAATATGTATAATAATATAGATATAAAATATATTATAATGATATTTTTGATGATTATTAAAACTAAACCTATACTAAGCAGTTTTAATACCTATACTGTGGAAATACGTGTTTTACGGCCCCTTGAAGGGAGCGTGTACTAGATAAATTTACTTGACAGTGGTAAATTTTGACAATCATAAGTTAACCGCGAGCAATATCATCACGTCATTACTGTAAATTCCTATGCCGATGGAGTGAACTACAGAAAGCGTGTTTTTCTTAATATAATAATGTAAAGCCACGGGAAAGGGCAACAAATAATAATAAATTTAAAGAATTGAAATTATTTCAGCTTCATGAATTAATTTAATAGAAAACCAGGTAAGTGGCATTTTCAGTGATCAGGGTAAGAAGAAAAAAAAGTTGTCTCCGAGCTATTTCATTACCGATATATTTGATAATTGTTTCTCTACTTTTAATTACCACTGCATGATGTGAAAATAATAATCATGCAAGCATATTAGTTATGTTAAGGAGAGAAGGAAAAGCTCTGTTGAATTAACATACCCATATTGATGCTTTCACCGATTCATAAATACTCTCTCTTCAATTGTTCAGTTTTGTGCATGATTTTGTAGTGTCGTTCATTGGGTATTCATCTAGTAAATGATAAATATAATTTTAGAGTGTTCTAAAAAGTCCGATTTCATTGATAATGTAAGCTTTTTATATAAAGAAATAATTAAAAGGGAATGTATGTAAATTATTATTTTTCAAAATGGACTAATAATTAAAAAAAGGAATTATTTGTGGCCTTTAAAATATAATTTTCATTTAGCGTCATGTAAAACAATTTGCTGATCACAAATATATTTCAATGACATTTATTTAGTTTCATGTTTAATTAAATACAAATACGTTTTAAAATGTGCAGTTAGTTTATATCAATAATAAAGAAGGACTTGTTCCACCCATGTTTTAGTAAATTTTTTGATCTAGATTAATTTACTCTTCATTGTATATCTATTAAAAAAAATTGCCGTCTTGTATTCAAAATTTATTAGATCCTGAATAAAAATAAGTAAAAATGTTTAAAAAGTTGCTAAAAGTATTTCCAAAGTGACTTTTTTTTATTTATTCGATTCTTCATTCATTTATCATAATGAAAAAAAATAAAAATCCCGATTCTCATTAATGGACATTAATTATTGTTCAATCTTACTTCAAGAAATAGTAAAGCTCTTCCAGCAGATTAAAATGCACTTGCAATCCATATTCTTTCGCCGAGCAATAAACATGAGATTTTTATATATTTGATAAGCTACGCACTGCAACACAAAGAAACTCAATAATTTTTTTTTTTTAATCAATTTTCAATCAAGTTTTATTCTGCCTTGATAACAGGTGAAAGAAAATTCGATTTTTTTCTCGAAATCTCTATTGAAGCATTCTTTTTTTCAACACTCATCATTTACAAGAATTTAAGGAACTGCATATTAAACAATTGCAGGGTTCAAAAATAAAATAGTTCTCTTTGAAACAATTCGAAAAGGGATAAAAGAAGAAAGTAAATAAATAAACGGAATGTTTTGAATTTTTAACGTACTATAAAGAGTTAACTTTCAAACTATACAAAACAAATAAATGAATCGGTATCTTCATTTGCATCAAATGGATTATTGGTTATTCAATTGTTTTAGGACATTAAAATTTTTAGTTATTTAAAGAAGTTTAAGATGAAGTGGTCTCGTCTTTCTCCCAAGAAATAACCAGCTATCCCTTATAAATATCTAAATTCCTTTTCTAGCATTTAAAAGGAATGCAAGATGGTGATTGCTTTTAATATCAAATTTTCAGATCCAAAATCAGTTTGTGTTAGCGAAGAAAAAAATAAGACAATCGGAATGGGTTCGAGAAAATTGTTGTTATCACTATCAAGAAGACCGGAGTACAAAATATCAAAACCTGTTTTTACAGGGTTGAAATTTAAAGGCTTTTCTAATAATCCTTATTCAGACTGATGCGCGAAGTCAAGCATCCCCAGATACGCTGGGTAAACCCTTTGATCAGTCTGCGAAAAGACAGAGGGTGTGCGGTATTGGTCCTTGTTAAACTATTAAATCGTAGAGAACTAGACTTTTTGCACTGATCGTCTGGCTACCAAAATTTGGATAATATGTCTTTGGATCATCCTCAGGAAAGTTCTCAAGACCGTCGCCAATAGCTCATTGCTCGACGCAAATAAAGTACTACTACAAAGAGAAGAATTCCTATTTTGTGCGATTTCCTCAAACAGAGGCATTTTATTTATAAAATAAATGTTATTACAATTCAGATTCTGTCAATAACATGTTTCTTTTCTCCTAAACTTTAGTCCTCTTTCAAAATAATAATTACAACAAAAAGTTTCCATGGCAATAGAACACATATTCTATTCTGTCTAAATTCAAAAGATGATTAAACAAGATTCTTTTTTTCAAACCTTATCGACATTAATACAGCTGTCGTGCTTCTCATTCATTCGAATACAGATTTTCTTTTATTTTTTCTTCAACTCATTTGAAGTGAATTATCTTTTCTTCAGTTTCTCTTGCTAGTTTTTAAAAAAAAGAAGGGAAAAAAAAGACAGTAGCTTGTACAGAACAAACAAAATTTTTACTTCTCATTCAACCTATTTATTTATCATTTAATTAAAAATAATAGTTGCGGATGATCATTTAAACTTACTAATATGCAATGTTTTCTATTATCCATTTCTTCAATAGTTGCATTCTTGCGTTATCATATCACAATTATATTCCTTATGTTTCTGTTCCCATAGCTTACAATCTGTTTCCGCAAAATGTTCGTAGCTGGTTTAAAGACACTTAAATAATAATAATGACACATTTCATAAGATTTCTCGTTGAAGCTCTAATTCCATAAACAAAATGATATCCTGAAAAATGTTGTAAAATTCTTTTATAGACGCTTCTAAAGTTTCGGAAAAATCTTAAGTAAAAGCAACCTTTTACAGTGAAAAATGCTTTTCGTTTGAGAGTATTCAAGCTAAAAATTGTAGTTTTCGATAATTTATAGCTTAACTCCTTCAAAATAGACAAAATATACGATATATGTCCAATTCTGAGAAAACTATATGGAAAAAAAAATATTCAGACCAATTGGCAAATGACACTTCGGATATCTTCCTGATCCGCCACTTCTTTATGT